AGACACAGCCTCAGTATATGTACCCACTATAGGCTCTATGTATGAGTTACAATGAGGACGCTGCCTCAGTATATGTACCCACTATATTGTCTGTGTATGAGTTGATCTGGTGTTCTTTATATGCTCTGAGTCACTGTGAAAACACAGCCTCAGTATATGTCCTCTACATGCTTTATAGGTAAGATGGTGTGGAGGCATTGCTTCAGTTCTCTATATGATTGATGTATTAGTGGAAAAACAATTGTGACTAAGTGCCCTTTGCCACTTTGTCCTGGAGAGGCCTGCTTACCTGCCTCCTCCCCTGCCACTATGGCCCCTGGGAGATTGTACCCTCTTAAACCAGCATTTGTTAAGAACAGTCTGTGAGCATATTGGGGCTTATGGACTTTTTATGGGACTGGTGCTGGCCCTTTAAGCACTTTTTTGGACAAATAGAGGAAATTGGGACACTGCCCCTTTAAGCCTGTGTCCCCAGACTTGATTAAAACCCTTATTTCCTGGCTATGTCCCACTTGGTTCAGTAAGTGGAGCTTACTGAACTAAGAACCACACAGGCGGACCACCAAAAAGTGGAAGTGTGCAGGCAATTTACCTCCCAGTACAAAAAGAGAAGTCCTGTGCTCACTCCCATCACTACTGGGCCGGCAGCAATGACTACAGTATACATCAGCCCCAATATATAGTAAAAACCAAAGAAACGAAAAAAGTTACCTGCGCTCTCTCCTTAATCCCTATGTATATTTAGACAAATGGAGGTCATTTAGTTGCTCCAATGGCCATTGGAGGGAATGCCCGCCTGCCAACGTCAAGGCAGACCCCCCTAAGCGGGTCCTAACACTGACCCTTCAGCCTGCTTCCTTGAGCTTCTGGCTAAAATATCTCTAATGAGACAGAAAGGGGTATTGTTTGTATACACCCCTATATACTTATTAACCCTTAATAGGGAACACGAAAAAAGTTACCTGCGCTCTCTCCTTAATCCCTATGTATATATAGGGTTGTATACAAAAAATACCCCTTTCTGAGCCCTACCTTCTCCCATACTGATTTTACAGCTGCAGACGCTAGGTCCCATTCGGCGATGGGACTTAGTCATTTTTTCAACCTGAAATAGACCGACCGCACAGCCCAAATCTATGGAACTGTTTTGGGCAGGAAAATGTGCTTGCTGGATGGATTAGTCTGATTTTTGAGAGTGTTCATGTTTAAAGTGTGCTGATTCTGAATATTCTGAATTTTTTATGAAGATTGGATGTATATTTTTAAAGTTATAGTACATATATAAAAACTGTATTTTTCTTGCCTGTGTTAATTATGTTAAGCATTGTGTGCCATAATTAGATCACAGGCAGAGGGGAGGATTTTTGTGGGTAATTGCTGGGAGTGTTTTCTGTAATGTACGTGTTATTGGTATTCTGTAAAACCCTGTGGGTGGGTCCTATGAAAACCTGCATAAAAGAAGACCCTTTGGTGCCAAGTGATACACAGTTCTTCTTGATCCTTCAAAATGTAGCCTTGTTTTGTTCTTGAAAGGGGCTATGCAGCTTAATCACCTAGCTCTTTTAAGAGTTCTGCCTGACTCTTGCCTTGGATCCAGTGAATGGGAAGCAACTCCACCACTACACAGCGACTTGCCGGGGAGAAAAGGACGTCTCCAACGGCTGATACCCTCCTACTACCTGGATAGCCGTTACAACAATATATGTGAATGATATAAATACATCCGCTAAATGAGTACACTCTAATACTGGTTCTATGTGTGGGTTGTTAGTCACAACCTCAGTATATGTGAGTGGTATAATATGCGCATGAAGTTCTGTTAAAACACAGGCTCAATTTATCTCACTCATATAATCTTAATATGTGTGCAGGCATAGTGTCACTGTATATAGCAGAGGTAGGCTGTTACTATTTAAACAGACTCATTATATGTAACTGATATCTCTGTGCATAAGGTGCTGTTAGAAACATCCACAATGTATGTGATTCATATAATCGGTATGCAGGTTGGTAGTATTAGATAACCCCAATTTATACACGGCACTGGTAGATTTAATACAAATGATCAAAGGTCTGTTTTGCGCGGAAATGGAGCACTGCCCAAATACAAATACACTATTGTACTGGGTAAGTAACTATTGCCTACTGTTGATTTTCCATTTCAGTATTTTAAATGAAGTAGATAAGGAAACATACTGCTTTTGGCTTTGTATTAGATTCCTTCTCCCACAGGTGTTTCAGGATAAGCAATTAACACATTTTACCACTTCAGATGGATTGCAGGTGTTACTGAACCTGTCTGAGTGCCTCTCCCAGGAGAGAAGGAGACCTGTTTTTCCAAAATGGAGCATGGTACTGTTAACAGAATCAATGCTTTTTTGTGTGCACTCCTATGTATTTATACATGAGACCATTCTATATAAGTTTTTCTATTGCCAGGCATCCTCTCCTCTCTGTTCAAGATAGGGAATGTTTTTGTTTCAATTGGTGGTAGTGTTTTACCTTCAGATTTATGCTGATTACTGATGCACAGCTTAGTAGATCATACTGGTTGCAGGAGCACAAATTGGGCTATTAATTGATCTCATAAGTAGGTAACGCTGAAGCCATTACCTGATTTAAAAGCTGTTAATATTTTTTTTTTCTTCACCTGGTCATAACCTTTTATTCTTTAAATCTG